GCTGATTGGCTGCTTTGCTGTATGTGAGGCTTTTGGGAACTCAACAAGCTTTGAGATATACGAGGCCTTGGGGGGACTCTGATATCATTCAATAAAAGATTATAAAGGGCGCTTGTTTGGAAAGGAATTTCAATCGTGAAGTTTAGGGGCTGATGTGCAAATCCGTCGCCCCCGGCGAGTAGCTGGGCGAATGCCGTTCGCACGTCGCTGCCAGGTGGCGCTGAGGAGCAGAGGAATTTCCTATCACCGCGCGGATGAGAATTTTTTGGGCCGACTCCTTCGGGCAAAAATTGATTGGAAAAAAAATGACTTTTGTAGAACGGAGGGGGCCCGACAGGGGCCCCAACCCGTGTTCATGAGGAGTCATTGTTCTTAGGGCGTGGCATAAAAACCCCGATAGAGGCTCCTTTAAAAACAAATTAGTTGCAGCTATACAGTAACTCTAATTTCAAGCAGAGGCAGTGATTGGCTGGAGCTTGAGCCGTCCCCTTTGGCTGAGATCACATGACTTGGGTTGGGTCATGTGGGCACACACCGGCTGCTCCCGAGTGCCACCTAGTGGTGGTAAAAGATCAGCCACTGAGCATTTGATTATCCATTAGTGCAGGGGGTAGGCAACCTTGGCAATCCAGCTGTGGTGAAGTTACAAATCCCATCATGCATCTGCTTCTTGGTTGTCGGAGCCTTGCAATGCCTCATGGGACTTGTAGTTCCCCAACAGCCGAAGCGCCAAAGGCTTTTTATCCCCGCATTAGTGAATGTCCGCTGTGAGTCTGGGCATTTCACGGGGCTGCGGATGTCTGAGCATGTGCAGCCGCTCACGTGTACTGACTACGACTGGCTGCCTTGCTGTGGGTTCGGCTTTAAGAGCGCCAGTGGCCAGTGGCATCCATGTATTTTATTTTTTTTGCCGACCACCGAAGGTTATTGATTGGGTATTGGGTGAGCACATGGCCTGCCCGCACAGAGTCTGATATGGATTCAAACCAGAAGTTAAGGTGATTCCCAAAGCAACCAATAAAACTGCAGCTTTCATATTGCATCTTGCTCTGTTAAATGATAGCTGGAAGCCGATTGGTTACCATGGGTAACGCCTGCTCCCAGCCCCGCCGTGGCTCAGCCAACCATAAAGCTTGCTGGGAGCTCTGCCGTATCAATAGCTGGAGGGCTACATATTGACTAATAAGCTTATCAATAACAGGGTTATAGAACTGTGACTATACAGGTTTTAGTGCAGCTACTGCCCGCCGGTATCCCGTGCTGGCCCTTTAAGAAGCAGTGCCAGGGGGGATGGGCAGAACAGGTAAAATACCTAAAGCACGGGGGTTTGGTGACTGTCTTACGGAGCATCATCGGACTCATTTTATTATCATTATTATTATTTTGTTACTCTTTTTTTTTTATTTAGTCGGATTGAACAGTTCCCTTCATCCCGATCTCTTCCGCTCTGTCTTTCGGTGGCGTATTTCCGCGTTTTGCACAGTTCTACTTCCTGTAGTTGCCGAACTGGATGGCCAGGCGGTCGGTGACGCAGCGGAAAGTGGCGGGCTGCACCTCCCAGTAGGGCACCGGGTTGTTGAAGAGGCTGATTCCGTTGTAGTAGGCGCGCTTCACCCCGAATCCGATCGGACAGAAGTCGTTGACGCCCACCTGGGTGATGTTGTTGGAGTGCAGGTAGACGACCTGGCAAAAGAGAATCAACAAAAATATTAGGGCCGGTAATGATTAAAATGTTCGTGTTTGATTAATGATAAGGCACATACAGATCCAACTACATTGGCCTATACAGCACAGCAATGACCTATACACATACAGCACAGCAATGACCTATACACATACAGCACAAGTATTTATAACATGTTTGTATTTGTAATTAGGTAGATGTTACATATATTGGTCCTATACTCACCTGTAGCAACTTCAGGTCTGGCAGTCCTGGGGGCACTTTGGAGAGCTTGTTATTGTCGAGGTGAAGTTCCCGCAGAATGGGCAGAGAAGACAAGCTCCCGTTCTCCACCTGTCTGATGGTATTGTATCCCAGTCCCAGCCTGGAAAAATCCAAAGAGCAAAACGGTCACTTGCACACCGTCTGGTTTAGGAAGTCCACCCGGACACAGGGTTGACTTCAAACAGGACTGTCTTTTTCTATCTCCAGGATATAAGTGATGGAATTAGAAGCTTACACAAGAAAGATAAGATGGTTTTAGAGAAAGTGAGACACATTTCTGGCAGGATCAACATCTCTTTTCTGTACTTGCTGACAATGTTCTTCTGCTGTAGACAACCTGGTTGGATTTATAGTGGAAATTACATGGTTAATGCCAGGTGTCTGGCATTGCCTGTACCCCCCCCCCCTGGGCGGAGTGTGACTCTGTCATATTCAGACATCCCAAGTCTCCCGGATGGGCCGGGAGTCTCCCGCTACTAGATAACGGCTCCCGGACGCCCGCAAGAGAGACATTTTATCCCGGAAAGGATTGGAACCTTTCCGGGTCTGATGCTCTCACTAGCTCTGCTGAGTATCAATAAAGTTTTCAGCTGTAAGGGGAAAAAAAAGTTTGTGCCGCTGGCTGGTCAGTGGGAGGGGTTTAGGCACGGCAGGGCGGCCTGTGATTGACTGGAGACAAGAGTCCCTGAGCTAGCTCTGCAGACACCTTGTGATGAGTGCCGAGGGGGAGCCGATAGAAGACGCCTGTGGAGGGTGAGTGGCACACTTCCTAGTCTTGCCATATACTGTGTTAATAATCACAAATAAAATAAAAACATAATGTAATTAATAATAACATTAAATAATATAATTAATAATAATAAAATGGTATAATATCTACTATGTTTGTGTGTATATA